CTATCACAAAAAGAAAAAAAAAAGAAAAAAAGAGAGAGATAACAGAGAAGAAATTATTTTAAGTGGCTCCTTTGGACAGATGGAACAGATAAAATTTAGACTGAAGGTATACCAACAGAGAATCTCCTATTTGAGAAGACACCAACCTGCATGCTAATTCTCATTCCAAAGACATTAGTGTTTTGATCTGTGCAGGATGCTTGAAGATATTCCACTTTGAATTATAATGGCAAAAGATAGAAACTTACTGTGGTATTATTAGAAGGTAGACAAGGCCAAATAAGGCAGCTAGAATTAGGGAGAGAACTACAGCACTCGTGAAGTACTCGTCCTGAAGCTGGTGGTACTGTTATGGAAAGGAAGAAATGAAGACAGTGAGCATTTTATACACACCCGCCAACCACGCTTGCCCAGTCTCAGTGAAAGGTGACTAGAGCCTAAAATAAAACAAGCCCCTACCAATTTTAATAACATATAAATAATCATTGGTTAATTCACACACACACATAGAACTAGGCTACTCCACACAACATTTTCCTTGACAGCCTTCTGCTTTAGCTTCTCCTGTTGGCCTAGCTGTTTAGTTGTTACCCTGTAACTAGTCAAATCTAGGTTAGGGTCAGACATAAATTCATCTTTGGGAACAAAAAGGATTCAGCCAATTTGAAACAGAAGGAGGCGGTGCTCCCTCCTCTTCACTTAGTCCTTACAAAAAAGGCCAAAAACCTCCATGGGACTGCCTTCAAGGAGCCCTGTCATCTCAGCTGCTCAACACAGGACACTAATGGGCAGGCTGGAGGCAGCTTCTAAAGAGAGATACAGGCTCAGTTTTCAGCAGTTATTGTTCCTCATCCCACTAAGCCACAGTCCTTATAACAGAATGCTTTTCAGAGGTGGAAACGCACATGTCTTTTTTCAGAAAAATCCAAATTTCAGCTTCATTTACACCAAAAGATTTTCTGATTTTGAAAGAAAACAATTACAATTAAATAATAAATCACCATGGAAACGTATAATCAAAGTTAATGCTCAAGACCTTTAAAAAAAAATGCATCCAATATGGTACACAGCATTCTGACTTGAAAGAGTAGCGACTGGAAATCTAACACTACAAAGTGACTTATGGGGAAAAATAAATGCTACTGCCAAATTAATCCAAAATCATATCACTTTGGTTTGACAAGCAAATAAACAAACGCTTTATATTTTTTTCCGGTTAAAAATATTTACAAACAAAACCCATACAAGGTTGGAGCAAACAGATGAGTCAATAAGCAGCCACGTTGCCCCAAGACAGCATTAAACAGGTGACACATGTCAGGCAGTTTGGAGAAGCAAAAGGAAGGCCAAAACACAGGATATGTAACTTTACTGAGGAGGTTCTTTATGAGTAGAAAGATACTGATCTTTCTTTTTATCCTCTCCAAGTGCTTCCACAGAAAGTAGAGATAATGCCTCCCTCTTAACTGAGACACAGTTCAGAAGATTATTTTACAGAGAGTAAGCAGAATTTAAATACTGTCTAAAACCAAAGAAAAAACAATGCTAGTTGGCTCATGGTTGGTGAAATGTGTAAAAATAATTTAAAAACTCCTTACTTTATTTTCACGCTCAATTTGCTTGTACTTCAGAGTAATGAAGTTCAAGTCAGCCATCTCTGACTCAGTTTGTCGGGCTTCTATCAAACGGCTGATGTATCTATTTACTCGAGTTCCTGGAGTATTGTATACAACATTGGTAGAAAAAGAGGAACGATTCCTGAGTTTTTCAGAGGCTGTCCTTAAAGCTCTCCTCTGTAGCACAAATGAAGAAAGAAGCACAGATTTTATTAACATTGAAATCTTTCATTGGTGTTCATATTATCTCAAGCTCACAGCCAGGATGAGGAATTCATTACAGCAGAGCAACTGCAAAAAGCAGAGATCCTTACCTCTGTGTAATTGCCATATTTTCGAAAGCCCTTAGCTGAAATTCTGATCTCATTAAAATCAATAAGGAAACCCCCACTGCATTCCAGGATTTCCATCCTTATTCACAGAAATTCTCTTCGCATACTGCCCTAGCACTTCTGTGTCAATGAGGCAATAATCAGTTTGATCCCAGTCAGTGTTACTTTATCCAGAAAAACAATTAAACTTTTTTTCTTGATGGAAGACATGGAGCTCTGGACATTCTGGAGTCAAGATAGCCAGACTCTTCATGATACAAGAAAAGTCCTACCATCCAAGACTGTCTAGGTAACAACATTCATGACCATATTCAATTTCAGAGAGTCTGGAATCTCAAATATTTCTGTCTTTAACTCACTCAAGTGGCTCTCTTATTCAGACCTCTTGGGTATGCCTTAAGCACACTCATAGATCCTGATGGAGCAGTCCAATAAAACATCAGAACTAAGCTGTGCCTAACTGGGCCTCCATGGCTGAGGCAGCACAACTAACAAGATGACCACTCAGTTCTTTTCAATGCAAAGTATTTATAACAGAGTGTATCTGAAAAGGATTTTAGACAGTCTGTCTCATCTTTCACAGAGAGCACACAGAAGATAATGAGCAGTATCTCAGCCACATGGTGGTAACCTTCAGTTGAGGGTACTGTACTCTAAACCATTATGACTAGATCTGCACTAGTATGACTGCCCATGTCTGGGCACACTGAAAGGATGAGGATCTTCACAGAATACTCTTGTGGCTGTAGCATTTTTTAAACACAGAGTGAGAAGGATGTAGGCCAATCTTGTAAAAGAAAAAACAACCAGGCAGTGGTTAGCACACTGAGCAGGAAGAGAGAGACATCAATGGAATGTCCTTTTCAACTCAAGAGGGGTCAAGCCTTTCTTCCCAGAAGAGTTTTGAAAACCAAGCTCAGGCAAGTTATACTATTTTTACACAGTTAAAAGAGTACTTTTTTAATCTGCAGAATTCAGGAAGACAATTCTAAACACTATGAAATGACAACTCTGCTCAGAGGTAAGGACAAGTTTGACTCAGGATATAATGAGTAGAGTCTGTCAGCAAGCTGTTAAAAAAGCACACAACATTTCTCTCTTCAGGGCAGCCAGTACTTAATAGCCTACTCTTTAAAGGCTCTGCTACAAAGTATCCTTTTAAACCAGATGGTAGAAAGAAGTGGTGATCGCTATTCAAGCAGTTCTTCACGAATGGCAGTTTTCTGTCTTATTCCACAAGAAGTAGTTCTCATGAGATCCTCATCAGTGAAAAAACAGTGGACTAGAGCATTAGCTTCTATAGCTTACATTATATATATATTATACTTGAATACTAATAAACAGCAGGAAGGGTTAGCTGCTGACCAATACCTTTAGTCTTCTGATCCTAAAAAGGAACGGACCTTAGCAAAGATGAAATAATTTTCCAAGTCCTGTTTTTACTGCCTTTATATGTAGAGAGCAGGTTAAATCAGCATTAAACAATTATGAGGCTATTTGAAACATTTTTCTTCAAACTATCAGATCCCATTACTTATTAAGTTGTCTGTGATGCAAGAACTAATTATTTCAACATGAAAAATAATCTTGTGGACACATAAGGATTAGAGCTTTCAAATCCAGTCTTCTGGGTTCTCTTAGCCAAAACAGAAATCTCAAACTGCAAGTGAAACAACTGTTATTAATATTTCCAACCATTTTTTAAAGTTATCCTCTTGCAAAAGACATTTGTCCCACAATTTTTCATGGAAACTGAGTGCTTTCGAGAATATTGTCAGCAACATACATTTTTGCTCTTCATAAGGATAAACAACAATTAGCATATATATTGCTTGAGTTGCAGCAGAAAGTGCATCTCTGAGGATTTTGCATAATCCATATTTAAACCTATGGCATAAAAATAGGGATGAGCAAAACAGCATTTAAGAAAAATAAATGCTTCTTTCTTTTAAAATATGGAATGAGGGTAGACGATGGGAGCTATTCTGACATTTTGAAATAGGGTGGAAGGTGCTGTCCTTTATCAAAATAGCTGTTGCTCACACATAATTATTTTCACTAGGTCTCTTACACTGAGTTTTATATGTGATCAAGAACCAGTACTTATATTTCTCAGAAATAAGATAAATAAATAAATGCTACAGCAATGTCTTGGCTTCAAAGCCTTTATAGCCATAGTTTGTTTTACATGATTTGAGGACTGATACCTCTGAAGAAATCCTGCACTGCAACACACCATATTTATATTAAAATTTTATATCATGCTCACTGGTAAACATTACATATTAGGTATGAAAGCTCAGAATAACTTCACTGCAAGTTTTCTGACATGAGAAAATTTTCATCATATCCCTAGCAAACCCATATCGGGATTTTCTGTATATACTACCATATTTATACATACATATACACAAGACATATTGTAAAGTATTGCATGTGCTTCAGAGAATGTGTGGGTTACTTTTTTAAAATACTCAAAGAACAGCACTAATTCACAATTTAAAGGCTTTGTCCATGAGCAATTTCAAAATAAAAATCTGGAGTTTCTGCAAGTCTTCACTGAAACCGTTTTAAAGGAACTAATGTACTTTTCCTCTCTCTTCCTGCAGAACAAAAACAAGCATATGTACAATCCAAATTATAAAAGTTAGAATGCTTTCTGAAAGTAGGATTTAGACAGACTCTTCAATAAATGTACACTATTTAAAAAAAAAAAAAAAAAGTGGAACAATCAGTCAGGAGGAATTACTGCTTCCAATACACGCAGCCCTGCTTTAGTGCACTGGTTGGAGTGACCTATGTAATATTGCCACCTGCTGGCGAAGAAAATGGAAGGAGTAACTCTTCAAAAAATTCTGGGTAGATACACACACACAGAGGAAAGGAAGAAAAACAGGTTACTAGTATGTAAAGTATTTTTGAGTTGTGGCGTCACAAGCCATTCAAGAAAGTGCTATTCGTATTTGTATTAGAAACGTTTGTATTTAGGATTTGTATTAGGGATAATCAGTTGCCTTTCATTTTTTAGAGAGCCATCTAGAGGTACAAAATGATTTTGTTATTTTGCATTTGCTGCCATCTACTTCAGACTGTGATAGACTCAGCTGTGTGAAAGAACAGCTCTTGGTAATTGCAGAAAAAAACTCAGAAACTAATTCCTGTAAAGGAAGCCTTAATAGAAGCCATATAGGCCACCTGTGCTGGCTTGTTCAAGAGGAGCTCCAAATTTGAGGCCTGTTACAATTAAGTTTTGTCTTTACTGGGAGAAGGCTGTGGGCATTAGACAGCTCTAGCTCCAGCAGGAGCACCAGCAGCTCCTCTGTCAGTTGGTGAGGTCACCCCATATGTTTTCAGCCATGGAACCAATCTTCAAAGAGCCCCCATGTGTTACCTTATCATCATCCTCACATGTCATGACATTGGAGAAAGGGATCTCTGCTTTGAACATCTTACGACAGTGCATGAGCTGAACAAGCAGGTAGCAGACTGTCTTGAACTTCATCCTTTTGGCAGGCTTAATGTCCGAGAGAATCAGTCCAGGAAATATCTGTTGGTCAGAAAAATAATATTTATAGCTGCATTATTACATTCCCATGCAGACATATATACCTGCAGACATTTACAGCAGTTAGTGATCAGAACAAAGCAATATTCTAATGAAGGAATGAATTGTGATAAACTTCGTATATGTGCAGATGAAGATTACTTCATATTCTTTTAACCTGAGATGTGAAGGATCTGTTGAACAGACTTTAAACACATATTTAACATTTTTGAAATTCTTTTCTACATAGAAATGTAGACTATAAAAAAAGCATAGAATGAAAAACACATGAAAGAGGCAATACTTGTAATTCCTTAACCTTAAAATCCAGGAAAAAATAATGAGGAAATTAGCATTTTTATTAATTGATATTAAAAATATAATTCCAATCTTTTTCTTATTTCCTCATTTTCAGCCACTTGTAAGCCTATTACAATCAAAAAAGGATAGCTTTTGCTTGAAAGATATGCTTATATGCATGCCCTAAAAGGACGCTGTGAAGCACTGGTACAGTAATCTTCAAAGCAAGATGTGTTATACCAGAGAAATATTCTCAAAGGGTTGGGTATAATCTTCTCCTTCTACCATGAAGCTCTCAGTTCAGCATGGATAAATATTTTGTTGGTTGGCTCTTAAGCATGTATTTAGTTCTTGCTGACTTTAGTAAACCCCTATCACACGTTTGGATGCTTCCATAGATCAGAATAAGAGTGATTCTTTCTGCTCTCAGTACTTATACCAATCTTACTCATGCTTCTTGCATGTGGAATGTGTAAAGCAGTGCTCATGGGAAATGTAGAAGGACCCCATGCCACCACAGTACGAGAATTTAAGCTTGCAAAATTAATCTTTTCTGGAGCAACAAAATAAAGAAGCACAGAGGATTTGGTCTCTAGTGTTCCTTGCTACAAAAGTCAGAGCAAATCACACTTCAAAAACTTTATTCAAATGCTCTAAACTCACAGACACACTGGGGATTTGCTGTCCAATCTTCACAAACGATTTACTAGAGCAGTTTACGTTATTACTTCAATGATCAAGGAATGAAAAAAGGAAGTAAACTGGAAGCATTCATTTAACGCCTGTTTTCATGGAAGGACAGGGCAAATGTCACAGCTTATATTCTGATTGGCATCTCAGGTACTGGTTTGCTATGCTGATTAATGCACATAACCATGGAATTGAATTTTCCAGAGAATCAAGGGTATATTTCATTGATCTACAAATACTCTATTTCTTCAGTTACAGTGTGGCTATGAAACACTTGTGTATAAATAGTTGCACATTTTTTATTAGCAGATGGCTATGTTATAAACATGTGATGTGTTTCAAATGTGGAAGGGTGTCTAGGTATGCATATATGCTTTATTGTGCACTGAAAGGCTGCCTGAAGCCAGCTAGCATCACCAGCACTGTACTGCACAGTCATCAGCCGGAATGTAGTGTATCTAGCGTATCTACTGTGCAATCCCTTGTATAAAAAGTCTCCATGAAGAGATTCCCAATATGAACTCTTTTTTTTGAGGGCTTTCTTGTAGGAGACTTACTGCTGTACTGCAATAACTGCATATAAGATATTATACAAGGACATTCACATACTAATGATCCTTTAGCTATTCCCAAGGACGCCAAATAGTTGTTGGGTTTGATCAGCAGATATGATCAGCTTTTGACCTACTATACCCAACAGCTAAAATGTACTTTTTGGATAGGTACTCCACTTACGAATTTTCCTGATGTAGCCATAGTTCCTCTAGCAGTACTATGTATTTTACTTAGTTTCCTTTTGATATAACAAAAATCAGCAGTTCCTCTAGACTCCTTGTAGCTTTGTATTTTGCTTCATTTTCTTTAAGATACAGAGAGAAAAAGGGAATATATCAAAGCTTACAGGTGGATCATATCTCAAGAGGTCATTAGCTCTTTCTTTGCTCAAACCATTCACTGTGGACATTGCATTAACTAGGTCAACAATTTGGTTTTACATCTCCATTGGACTGTCTGGAAAAGAAGTGCTTAAATAAGTGCAGAGCTACAGAAGCTGCCTGGCAACCTTCATTATGGAAATGCCACAGTAAAGGTGCAAGGGTGGCAAAGAGTAGGCAGAACATCTTACTAGAAAAGATTCAAGAAGGCATGACTGAGAAAGGTAAATACATGGCCATGACTATATCCTCCTACAAGGATTTGAAGTGTGTGAGAAGAGATACAAACTTTTGATACAAACTTCTTACAACAGATGCATTTCTGAGAGCAACCTCCAACTTGAAATATTGGAATGGACACCGTTTGGCTCAGGCAGTGTGGCCCTGCCACCAACATGACTTTTCCTCAAACTTACATCTTCATGCAGTTTCATGACTGTATCTTCAAAGCAGTAGGTAGAACATTTTTAACTCATACCATCAACTGCTCTTTTAGTTTATAAATCTTGTTGGCAGATAATACATCAATAGTATACACCTCTTGAGTCAAATAAAAGTTTTTCATCTCAGGTCACTGCAAAAAAATGGAGTAGTGTGACTACTTCTAGGCTCCCCAGTACAAGAAAAAAACAGTGACAAACTGGAGTGAATTCAGAAAAAGTCATCAAAACAACTAGGGTTCTAAAGCATAAAACATATGAAAAGAACCAGAGGAAATTCAGTTTATTTAGCTGAAAAAAGAGAAGGCTAGGGAGAGATTGCTGCCTTCAGCCACATAGGTAGTAGTTTGAGAGAAGACAGAGCCAGACTCATGCCAAATATGCTTAGATAAAGCAAAGGAGGCAATGAACTTAGGCTGGACCAAGGGAAATTCCTATCTGATATAAAGAACAAAAGTTTTAACTGTGAGGATGATCACACACTGGAGCAAGCTACTGAATCTTCAGCCAGGGAAACACTCAGAGAATTTGCCCTGAGCAACCTGAAATTTCAAAAGTGGATCCACACGCAAAGCTGGCCCTGCTTTGAGCAGGGACGTCAGCCACACAACTTTCAAAGGCCCCTTCCAAATTCAGATACTGAATGAAAATACATGGAAATGTGTGGAACACATCAAGCTACTGTTCTTCGTGGCTGGGCAAGAACCTAAATGCTCAAAGGAGATTGCAACACAGACAAGTCAGGCACACTGGCAGTTCTCATATCATATACAGTTTAATACATATAGCTTTTTTAAAAAAAAAAAAAAATCTACCTCTTGTAGGACAATAGATTCTGCACTGGGACTGAGGATTTTCCATTCTACTATTTTGTATACACAACATCAAAATTTTTAGTATTACTTTTACAGTAGAAAAATGCTTTAGGCACAGTGAACTTCTGAGTGGAATATTTAAGGAATCTCAGTTTCTGCTGTGAGTCTTGATAAAAGCAAGAAATGCAGTACAGTCTATTAAAACAGACCTAAAAAAACCCCCCAAATCAAACACAAAACCAAGCCACAATATCCTTCACTCTGCCTTTTCTCTGAATTTGCTCCAGGCCCAGCATTACAGGAAAGGTGGACTGCAGCATTCTCATTCTAGTTCATTTTGTCAACACATTTTACTGTTGCATTTCTTTTTGACCCTTAGTATCATCTCTCATTCTGTTCACTGTTCATTTGTTTCATAATTTTAGGAAAGGTTGGTTGTTTGCTGCAACACAGCTGGCAAATAAGGTTAAGAGTTGGGATTTTCTAACAGAATGCTCTGAAAACAGCCAGACTATCAATAGCTTTGTGAGTGTCTTTAAGTATGCAGAAAACAAAGAAGCACTGATTAAAATTCTGGGAAAACATCCCAGTGTTTGAATCTTATGTAATACTCTGGTAAGGGATTCACTGGTGCTTATCTGGGATTCTCAGAAACAGCAGCAGACTTGTTCCCCTGACTATATTCAACTGCAGTGCTTAAAAAGGCATGGGAAAGGAGATACTGCTGACATTCAAAACACATTTACAGAAAACATAAATGCTGTAGCACTATATCTGTCTGTGCTTTCTATCTTCAGGCAGGACCATGCCTCTTGGTAGTAGTGTTTGTTAATACCTGCAAGCCATTTTTTCCTGAGATAGGTGAACAAATCTTTCCTGTGATGTTGTGTGGTTTTTTTTCTTACAGTTAAAATCATCAGGCATTTGCTTTTCCATCATTTTCTACTGCTCTATGATACATTTCACTTATGACACCTCAGCTGTCCATCAGGTAAGTATATTAGTAATTTTTAATGGTAAATAATACAGCTTCTATAAGACAAAATCTTAACATTCAGAATAGTGTGGCCACTTTCTCAACACAGTTGTAGAGAAAGCTTTTAGTGGCTATGAAGAAAAAAACAATCTGTAGGAGATTAGTAACAGAAAATCAGAGTAACAGAGAGATTAGTAACAGAAAAACACCAGTTCCCTGTTTTTCTCCCTCCTACAGGTTCCACATTTCTGGAGGAAGAAAAAAAAGAGAGGATAACAATGTCAGAACACATAACTAATTCCACCATCACTGACAGCCCAAGCTGCAGGCTGTCAAACTGATGATGATGCACTAGCAGCTTCCCAGCAACTGCAGAAACAATCCTGAAGGTGAAGAGCAACACATTCTGCAACCCAAGCATCATTCCCCTGTGTTTGCTGGGTGGCAATGCAAGCAGTTTACTTCCAGTGCTGGGGTGTGCATATTCCAACAACTTGTGCAATGCAAAATCCCAGGCACAGATCAGCCTCTGTCCAGATACAAGCTAGAGCTTCCATCAAAAGGCAGCATGTCTATCTGTTAGATCTGCTAAGGTTTATCTGAGGTGTTAAAACCTGAAATGCCCAAGTTATGCATTCAGATCTCTAGTTAAGTTCCTCAGTAGGAGCTGTCAGCCCTTGAGAGCAAAGACCACCCTGGACCCTCCTAGTCATGGCAGCAGCAGCTGCAAGCAGTTGTCAATCTGAAAGCAGAAATTATCAGTGTGTGCCCAGCTATAGGCTCAGATGCTAAACTCAGGGCACTTCAGATTGAAAGAACTTTGTCAAACACATTTCTGCTTGCTTGT